GAAGTCACAGTTCAGCTTACATCTTTTAAAAACATCTATTTATTTTTATATTGTTTTGTTCAAATATCATTTGGATAATACATAAATAAATTATTAAAACTAACATCAAACTAATAATACTGAATCAGTACCATTCGAGTGTGGTGTGATTTCCCACTGTGTAATATATATGTGGGTAAATTTTAAAAAAATCAACATTGAAATGATGTGTTTCGAAACCTTACTTATTTTCATGGTGTCCGTTACACTATCACATCGGCCAGCAAGACACCTATCATTTGGTGGAAATATAATGAGTTACTTTCTTAAGCCATCGTAATCTAAATTAGGCGAATATTATTTTTAATTAAATAATATTCTAATTTAGCCAATTCCGTTGCTAAACAAAGACTTATATAAAATATTTAAGGCCTGTAATAGTTTAGTAAAGAAACTAAACTATTCATGGCCTAAATTAGATTCCGGATCTAGAATTTACGAACGGACAAAAAAAGGCTACAGTCGAATTTATCAGTAACTCTAGATTAATTCCTTGTAGCTCTCGAATTAGATTATCTGTGATGCAAACATTTCTATTATATATTTAAGGATTATATAGTTTAAAAAATAAACTAAGTTATTTATTGTGTTTTTTTAATTGTGTTATATATGTATTTTTTGTTGTTTGTTCTTCTATTTAACTGATTATATTGGTTTGGCCTTAAAGTTATTTTTTTTGTATATGTTGCCTTTTATTTGGACCAATTCGTATATGTTTCAAGTGACGTCACTGTATGACCCGATATAAACTATTTTTGGTGTAACCTTAAATTTAGTTACGTCACCACGTCCGGTGAACGTTTTTAATGTTTTATAAAAATAAAATATTTGAAATGAACTTTTATAAATTAAGCAGTGTTTCTACAAATGAATATATTAATAAATTAATTATATTTTTTTACAAATGTGTGTATAACATTGTATTTTACAATTCTATACATAGAGCAGATGCACGTAACAGACAAACAAAATATTATACAACCTTTTTGCCTTTAGTATATATATATGGAGTCAACTGCATTAAATATGATACGAAGTATAATGAATTACAGTAAATATAACTTGAGATGAATTTGTTTTTTCATTTATGTTTTCTTTTACATTTCAGTAAAAAAAAACGTAATTTTTAGAGGAAAACAAAAGAAAATGTGGATGGTAAATACCAGCAGTGTAATTGATATGGCTATCGCAAAAGAAAGTCACGTAGAAACTTTGCCTGCTATGTCGAACTCCAGCACAAACTTGAATGATGAGCTTGTATTGTACTACGCCGTGTTCGCCTTCTACTACACAATCACCGGTGTTGGGGCATTTGGGAACTTCGTGTCAATTTTAACTGTTTACAGTCATGGACTGAAGACGACAACCAACCTGTTTCTTTTCTGTCTCTCCATCTCAGACTTGATATTTACACTAAGTAACTTCCTGGAACACATCAGTGGAACCTACTTCTCATACTGTCAAATATCTTATGTACAATTAAAACCACTGCATTTTGAGATCTGTACAGTTTTCACTCGTATAACATTTTTATCATTAACATTCAGCTATCATCTGATTGCGTTAATATCAACTGAAAGGCTCTTAGCTGTGTTTTTACCGTTATATCTTCGCAAACTTAACACACCTTATCGAATGAGATGTATCATTGTAATACTAGCCATGTACGTTATTATTATCAATTCATTTGATAATAAATATATTTCATTCCACCTGAACACAATTCTGACAAACAACGATATGTCTTTGATGGGCTTGGCAAGTGGAACAACACTCCGTGTGGTATTCGACATGTATAGGGTCACCTTAGTCTCCATGGTCCCATTAACCATTGTTATCCTATGTACCTCACTGACTATACTAAAACTATCTCTTTCCTCCAGAAAACGAAAACAATTAGTCAGCACCATTCGCGTTTCCGATAAAGTTAAAGAGCTGAAAGTCATCAAAATGTTGATCACCATTTGTGTAACTTTTATTATTCTGGTGATACCTGTCACGGCAATTCACTTTTTTGTAAACATTACCTTCCAAGTTATTGATGGCGTCATGTTTGTATGTTTGATCATGCAACAAATGACGGCATCAGTGAATTTTATCATTTACGTAAAAATGAGTTCCAAATTTTCCAGAGCGTTTCAGTGCCCTGGTCTGTGCTGATTGACGAAAATTCATTCCAATTTTTTTTACCTATTCGTTATAAGTACAAATCACTTTGGCTCGTTGTTAAAAAAAATAATAATTACCACATATTTTGTGTAGAAAATTGAGATTATAACATTTAGAATACAATACTTTATTAGAAATGTATATTTGATTTATGAAGGGAACTTTAAAATAATTCTTTGCGTTGAAGGCTAACTTTATAAGAACACGCATTTTAAACATTTTTAAAATGTCTTAGATTACAGCTCATATTTAAATCCTACACACTGAATCATATTTTTATATTTGATGAAAAATACTCGATCATTATTCTTGGCTAGTATAATAAACCGGGAATGATCTCCCCTAAACTTTCTCGTATATTCATATATGCTATAAAGCAATAATGTTTTGGGCTCGGCCCTAAAGAAATATAAACTTTTGTGACAACATTTATGGACGACGACCCCCCCCCCCAATCAACCCCGCCCCCCCCCCCCCCCCCCCCCCCACGTTCGATAAAATCTACCTTGTTTGGCTATTCCTCCTAAGTGAAACCGTTCAATAATTATTTATAGAAGAAATAGGGTCCTTGCTAAAATGTGATGTCATTTTTTGTGAGTAGGGGAGGCGTGGGGGGGGGGGTCGTTTGGTGGTTGTTGTTTTTTGTTTTGTGACGTTTGACGTTGGGTATCAGGTACAAACGCATGATGTCATATTTAGACAGTATCCTATTATTATTATTTTTTAATTAACATTACATTACTGGTAGTCGTCACCTTGTGTCTCTGTTTTCTAATCAGCTGTACGAGCCAAGCGTGTACTGAGACCAGGTTCTCCAGTCTTATCTTACTGACTCTACAGCGTGTGACGTACACCACAACCACCACCATCAGTACACGCAGCACAACAGCCAACGCCGCTACAACAACCAAAGACGCTCTCACCACAACAAACATCAACCCGAACAGCAGTCACGTCACAACCTTCTCTAAGACAACAACTTTCGCTGTGCCAACACCATCACGCGCATCTTCCTATGACGTCACAACAGACATCGTAACCACTACGCCGCAACCACCGAACACCACGACAACATCCTCTGTGCTCATTGACATCAACATCCTTGTGGAAGGGATCAAAAAAGGTCTGTTGGTCGACAAACGCAACGTGACGGCATACAAAATAACAAAAATATCCATGGAAGACAATCGTCCGTCTTCTCGGGCGTTCGGAGGTCTCGGTATCATCGTCTTGTCTGTGGTCGTGTTTCTGCTCGTGTTCTTTGACGTGATCAGGGTCGGCGCTTGGGTCTTTTCATTCTTCAAGACCAGGAACGTGGAGTCGCGCGTCCATCCAGCGTCGGTGACTGATCAATAAAAAAAAGTGTGTGTTTGTGATCGGTGTTTCTTTCAGGCATCTTTCGAGAAGCAGTGTTGACCCCCCCTCCCCCTCCAACAACCGAGTTCGTCCATCGCAACTCCCCCCCCCCCCCCAACCACCAAGTCGTCTTTCGCAACTCTCCTTCATCGCAACTCCCGTAAGAAAAAAAAAACAGAAACAATATTTAATGTGTGTAGAATGTATGTGCTTTAACCATTGTCTCTCACATCCCCGGAAAAAAAAATTCTTACCCGCCCCGGAAGTTTCAAGTCCCTCCGCCACTTCATCGGGGAAAAAATGTCTGAAAGAAACCTTTGCTGTTATACGAAGCCTAGAATGTTAATTAGTGCATCAGTTGAAGATATAATCAATGATCGATTTCATCGATAGTTTTAAGGCAGTCCCGTATATGCATCCGCTAATTGTCTATTTTTGTCTCCGTGTTGTATTGTAAAATTGCTGAACTTTAAACTTTGTGACGCTACTAGCTACAGTAAAGTCTTGTTGTAATGTATCTTACTAATTAGACTAGAGATCCCCGACACTGTTGTGTATCGACAAGGGCGGAGCATCTATGTACAAACAGTTAAGAAAATTTTGCTAAAGATAATATTTATTTTAGTTTTCTTGGACTTTTTGCCAAAAAGAAAACCAATTTTTCAAATAGCTTAGTAAAAACATTGCTAATATTGTGGTCAATAAAATACTTGTTGTGCTACTTTTTCCACTATGTATTGCAGTCTTCTTTAATGTATTCTTTAATGTACGTACGGGAAGGGGTGGGGGTAGGTGTCAACTGCTTTAGGGATAGTGCTAAATGTGTACCTAAGAAATCACTAATCATCCAGCACTAAGGGGTCCCTGATGTAATTGCCCACCCCACACTAATGGGTCCCTGACGAGCGAAATGGAATTTATATAGAAAACATATACATTTACCAGTGTCCGCTGCCCGGAAAATGTTGTTCGGCCCTTCCCCCCTCCCCGGAAATATCATGTGCCCCCCCCACCCCCATCCCGGAGATAAAAAGTCTGGAAGAAACACTGCTCTATTCTCTGTATACCAGAAAGTAAAAATAATGTGTAGTTAATAGGAAATAGTAGTTTTGTAAAGATTGTGTTTGGACTTCTCAATACCTACATTAATAAAACGTAAGGTATAATTAATTATGTGTAAAGATCTTGTTATTAAAAACGTAGTACACACAAGCCAAGCAAAACATGTTTTTTTTCATAAGAAAGCCGAACTTGAAGATACGTTTTATTATTAGTATTACGACTGCCATTCAACAGTAATATTTTCTTTGTCTGACGTACAAAAGTTTTTAGGTAACAGACTCTACTTCTTTTAAAATAATCACCAGAATGGGGCACTTCTTAAATGAATCCATATGGTATCGCTGGAGTAATCCAACAGATTTGAATGCATCATTTTAATTAGCATATAATCCTTTTTCTCTCCTTTGAAATCCCATTCTGTATTTAAAATGGAACTGTGTTAATCGCTGTTTGCTTAGCTTAGCGTAGGTTCTCGAGAACTTTCTGGACATTGTGACGTAGATTAAAAAATTCACGGATGAGTTCACGACGTACAGGAAGTCGACGAGAATCTCCGAGACGAAGTAAATGCCAGTGATCTGCCCTTGGTAAACAACGAACGTCTCGTCCAGGAAGTACATGGTCGTTGGGATCGCGGTGGGAATGGTCAGCACCAGGTACACAACACAGACCGTCAGCAGCATTTTAGCGGCCTTCAAGTCTATTTTTGGTTTAGAACGTGAAGAGGTCAATTCAAGTCTTTTTCTAGACGTTATGTGGAGTTTGATTCCCGTTGCCATGGACGCTAAAATAATGATAGCTAGAGACACGGAACCACGCAAGTTAGCGACAATGTAAACATTAATAAAAGTAAATATCTCCTTATATTCATAAAACGGTTCTGAGAATCCAGGGAGTGCGAGTGAGTTATTGTTTGAATCCTTAACCCAAACTAAAGCAAACATGTTAAAAAATTGTCCGATTAATAATGTCCAAAAGATATAAATAGCAGCGAGATAGCCTGTGGTTATTTTAACTGTAAAAAAATGGCCGACTTGAAATGGGAAATACACAGCTATCATCCTCTCGATGGAGATTAACACAACGTGACCAGAAGAGACGAAACTCACAAGACGCACGGGGACGACCAGATAGACATTCAAAATGGCGTCGTAAGTTTGAGCCAAGAGAACGTCAAATTTTGCGACAATGCAGCGGCCTCTTCTTATGGGGATCAGCACGACGTAGACCAAATCCACGCAGGATAACGACATTAAAATCACATGTGTTGTATCTTTCATTCCTTGAGTGGCCAGCACAGCCACATTCAAAACGTTGCCAATGATACCCAAAATGGCCACACAATTTAACAACACACAGTTGATCACATCGTCAACTATTTCTATTGCCTCATCGCTTACGATATCAAATTTGTTAACTCCAACCACCGAGATATTCATGTTTACTTTATTCTTGTTGCAGTCCAAAGCACACCGAATTCTTATATTTTGATCTTTATTTTGATGGTTTATAATGATATTTATTTTAAATTTTAAAGGAATATTTATATCTATGTCCTAACTATAAAAACTGAGAACCTAAACAAATTAATCTAATGTTTTAAAGGCAAGTATTTCAAATGATATCTTGTATAAAAATGGTGTGTGTATTTGTCCACAGAAATATGATGCGTGTATGAACTTAAAATCTGTTTTAAAATTAGGCTGGGTTTTAAAATAATAAAAAAATGATTTTTTTTTTAAATTTATTTATAACTTAATTATTACTTTCGAAATTTCAAAAAAAATCTGTTCATAAATACATTAACGAAGGTTTGATATCCATTTATTTTTTCATTCTTTAAAACCATAGGCCTAATACAAATCAGTAGAAAAAAATGTTTCCGCCCATTGTCATTAGGCTTCCTTTTGTAATTGCCTTAATTAACAAAAGCCATTTGTATGCAAGTATGGAACGTGAGTAGCTACTGCATGAAATAATTATAAACTAAAAGACATTATGTATTATATAGTGTTTTTTTTTAAATTAGTAGTCATCTCGATGTAAATAGTTAACTTTCCAGAAGCTTCTCCTATAATAGAGTGACTACGTAATTAGGTGGTTAATGGTTAAGTAAATTATCAGTGTGTGCATTGTATTTTTTTTGTTTTAAATGTAGACCGACGTGATTGAACATGATTCTACATAGTTATCTCAACTAAATGTTTATCAAACTTTCTTCTGCAGCAGATCAGTATTACCATTAATTACACAGAACATTAGATTACATTTTTGAATAAAAAATAGTTTTGTGTTGTTTTTTAGTTGTTTTTTTTTTTCATAATATGGTGACTGAACGGGCTCAAGTTATTCCTAACACTATCCTACACAAGAAAGATCTGAATTGGTGGTATAGATGAACTACTGAATATTTCTCTTTAGGGTGGTGAACGATTTGCTTGAGTTTGCGTGCACTGCTCATTTCGGCATAGGTTTTTTTGGTGTCACCAGCATTTCTTTAAGTTTACCTGAATAGATCTGTCTATAATTGTGGGGCTGATATGTTGAGAGCCTGGTCTGTTGAAAGAGGCTGGTCTGTTGAGAGAGGCTGGTATTTCGAGAGAGGCTGGTCTGTTGAAAGAGACTGGTCTGTTGAGAGAGGCTGGTCTGTTGAGAGAGGCTGTTCTGTTGAGAGAGTCTGGTTTGTTGAGAGAGGCTGGTCTGTTGAGAGAGTCTGGTTTCTTGAGAGAGGCTGGTCTGTTGAGAGAATCTGGTCTGTTGAGAGAGGTTGATCTGTTGTGAGAATCTGGTCTGTTGAGAGAGGTTGATCTGTTGTGAGAATCTGGTCTGTTGAGAGAGGCTGGTATTTTGAGAGAGGCTGGTATTTTGAGAGAGGCTGGTATGTTGAGAGAGGCTGGTCTGTTGAGAGAGGCTGATATGTTGAGAGCCTGGTCTGTTGAGAGAGGCTGATCTTTTGAGAGAGGCTTGTCTGTTAAAAAAGCATTTACTAAAGACTAACCATGTCGTTTAACATGTACGCCAAACATTTTGTAATCTAACAAAAAACATTTCTTTACATGTAGATAAAACCTTAATCTAAAGCAAGTAGTGAATTAAAAATAATTAAATTTATTGCACAATCTTGTGGAAATATAATTCGAATACTATTGTTTTGATTGATATTTAGATTATCGAATAAAGATCTAGTTTCAAATGATTATGTTAGCCTAAAAAATTGTAAACAAATCAATTTGGTTATGGGAAATCTGGAAATATGCTATACTAAACAAGTACTATTTGTTTATTATTCTTTAAAATGAAACAATGTAATAGAATAGCTGAACATAATTAATCAAGTATCCTTACCTATAAGTACTGTGACTGCTGTGCTGTAAAATTGTGTGATTGCGGCGTGCGACTGCGTTCCCGATCAAAAGTGTACTGACAAATATAGCGATATTCGTTTTGCGCCGAGATTTTTAGAGCTTGAAATAATAGGCGGTTTGTTCAAATGATTATATCTCGATAATCAATCTACAGATTTCTATAATAATTTCAGGCATTATGGGGAATCATACTGGCTTTTGATTTATGTAAAAAAAAGAAAATCGAATTTTTTTTGAGTTAGACGGTTTGCGACCGAGACCATCAATATGTAATTTTCTTCTAGTATGTAGATAACTATTTACAATTTTAAAAAGATTGTAATTTGTTCTTGTTTGGACAAAGACTATGGAAGCAAATCCAAAAAGAAAAGCAGGCTGAAATCGGAGTCAATGGCCCCACTGGCCACCACCGAATTTTTTTTTATTTAACACATTTATTTATTTATAAACTATATTTAAAAATAATATATAGCCGCCTATAGCAGTACTGGTTGTCATAAAATCCACGAAAAGGTGTGAAAACTAACACCTTTTCAAATCTCTATAAGTTCGTTCCCATAAGAGTTTTTTAAAAGCTGATGAAAGATGTAGATTTCTCAAACCAACAATTTAAAGCTGGCTAGTTTTTGTTACAGAAATCACTCTAGAAATATTTTTTTTAATTTTCAAAATTTGGTTTTACGAAATTCCATTGAAATTAATGCTAAATTCAATGGAATTTCACCATAAAATATTTTTGCAAATTTGAAAAAAAAAATATTTCTAGAGTGATTTCTGTTACAAAAACTTTCCACCGGAAGTGGTACTTTTTTACTTTGAATTTTTCAAAAGCCTATTACTTGAGTACTATTTCAGATAGATAAATGAAATTTCACATGTAAGTAAAAGATCTAATTCTCTACCTTCTGTCAAATTTTAAGTAATTTACGCTATTTTCAATTTCTCAAAAAAAAACGCATGTAAATTTATAAAATACTAATAATATTGCGCACTAGTATGCACATTTCATTTGACGTTCACTTGTTTCTACGAGATTTTATTCTAATTTAAAAAGTTTAAGTATTTAAAATGGATTAAAATTCATGTCTATATCCCGAGTTCCCAGCCCCTGTTCTTTTTATATAAGAATATTCGAGAAAGTTTAGGGGAGATCACTCCCGGTTTATTTTTATCAATTTAAATTTTATATTTTAAAACTTTGTGAAATATTATTGAAGAGGTAAAAACATGAGGGAGCGTTTCCCCAAACGGGGGTGGGGAGAGGGAGACGGACACGTGACATCGTGACACCCTTTTGTGTTAACTTTTTGTGTTTAACTTTAGCTGTTATTAAAATCAATACAAGTAATTAACAGAGCCGGGCTCGTATATGGCCGCCCTAATTAACTCGGGGGTGGGGGCGAAACGCGCCATTTGTTCTTTATGTGGTCATCTAGCTCATTATATCTTTAACTAACTTTGCGACCATCGTTGAGTGGGTCGATGATGGGCCTGACACCAAGTGTTAGTTACACTATTTGTAGTAAAACCATTTGTACTTCATATAGTATATTAGAAGAATTTTTATATTTTTTACGTGCTTGTTGGATTCATCCATGTTTATTTATTTATATACGTGAGACTATGTTGTTATCCCTAAGTTTTAAGTTTTACTAGTGATAACATTCTTCACCTTCTTTGAGACACACACTTACACACTCACACACACACATACAAACACATACACACATACAACTGAAAGTAATATAAAATCACACCAAAAGTCTTATTTATTTATATTTATTTATTTAACGTTTTTCCAATTCATCAAAGGCTTTTAAAATACCCACCATTATAGTACTTTAAAGTCATCTTGCATTACTCAAAGACTCGTCATACATTCGTAGTTGTCTCTCATTTCTCTACTTTTAAGCAACATTTTTATGAATTTTTAATTTTTTTAATACTTTTTAAGTGTTGTAAGATTTAACATCAGATAAGGTCCTACAAAGTTTCAGGGAGATAACTCATACAAAAAAAAAATAATTGTGGTCAACCAAACAGACGTAACATTACAGAGCTATGGCTAAGGGGCAGTTCTAATCTATATTTTGAGAATCAAATTACCGAGTAGAGAGTTTGTAATACCTACTTAACTGTAATTTTAGACTGTTTACAATATTTACAATGGTAAATGTTATTTAAATAACAAAATATTATTTCCCTTTCCTCAAAGAAAACAATCATCTTTTTTTTTTACTTTACATAAAAGTACACAAAATATTTTTTGTTACACTTAATGTGGATAATTTTAATTTGTGTAATTCACCTTTTGCATAATTATTGCTGTCGTCTAATAAAGTAAATATGTCCTTTAAAACCTACCAAGTCACTCAACTCTAAAAGACACGAATTAGATATTTTGAAAAGAAAAAAAGCTTATAATTCAAACATTGAAACTTACATTTTCATATAGAAAATCAACAATTAAGCAGTAAATTTGGGGACCCCTAAAAATCGGGCACCTGATTGCAGCCCCTTTAACACCCCCCCCCCCCACCCCTTAATTCTCTACTAAAGGAGACCGACGGCTGCTTTCATGGAGTTCGCGGGAGGGGTGGGGGTAGGGAGGGAAGGTGAGGATAATCGTCTTTACCAGCTACTGATAGTGTTTACAGCAAAATATTTTCAGTCGCAGCATTGGTAGTGTATTATGAATTACTGAAAAGTAGAAAATAAAACAGCGGCGTATGCGTACGGCGCATGTCAGCTCGTCTAATATATAAAGTTCAATTCATTGGTGGGCGGACGGACAGCGGATTCCAAAGTCTAAAGTGCTCATCGTCTAAATTCATGATTTAAAAAATTAATATTGAAGGTGTTGTAAAACAATTTTCATTTTTCAAACTTAACTTGATACTTGTTGGCATGTCCATCAAACAATTTTTTTAAATGTATCACCTTTCACAAAAACTCTAATTATTTACATTTAGTTCTTTAGCACTCCTTACGTCACTTGATAAATTAGGAAAACACAATTACTTCCCTTTATTTAAAAAAAAAAGCATTCCATTGAGAGGAAAAAATGTACCTTT